TAACTTGGTCTTGTTGTCAAGGCGACTTAGTAGAACGCACCTAGTCCGAAGTCGTCTACCATAGTTATTGTCATGATTCCCAGCATCAGACAATGGACTTGGTACCAAGCTACCAACTCGTCAAAGAGACAAGTGAAGTCAATCCCTCGACAAACGTTCTGCCAAAAACGGTTACACTATCACTTCTCTTTCTGTTCCGGCTTATCTAGCTACTCTTTACCCTGTTATCCCACTGCCGCCCTATCACAACTACTCACTTGTTTACATTCCACTCGTCAAAATGTGTGCCCTTTTGTGGCAAATCTAGTGTGGCCTCATCACTCTTGCTATTCACCCCGACTCTAACCTCCAATCTGGATCCCATCATTGTCTCGTAGATCCATTCCTCATCTTTCTGTGATATTGTAACCGTTTTCGGCAGAACGTTTGTTGAGGGATTGACTTCACTTGTCTCTTTGACGAGTTCGTAGCTTGGGCCAAGTCCATTGTCTGATGCTGGGAATCATGACAATAACTATGGTAGACGACTTCGGACTAGGTGCGTTCTACTAAGTTGCCCTTACAACAAGACCAAGTTGTGACAACGAGGTCACATACTCCTATAAGTATGGTTTGAAAAAAAATTTAAAATAAACCCAGCGTTTGTTGGTTTATTATTTACATTTTTATCCTGTTTGTTCATCCCTTTGCAAACTAGACCATCTAGAAAAATTAGACTACTAACCTTTTATAATTCCATGGTAAACCTAGACTTCCCATCGATTCTATCCATTAACTTTATGAAGTTTTCTATACTTTATTTGCAAAGTAATCATCAACATACCTAATCAATTATTTACAAGGTAAAGATGCTCCAAGTATTAGACGACTTTTATTGATATCCTCATTAACAAAGATGTAGACAAACTGGGTATAAATGTATATATGAAACCCAAATATTCGGGATTTATTTTAAGTATCCTTTAAACCATACTTATGGGATCAAAGTGGGAGTTGTGAAATCCATGACAATAGGAAGTCTGCTTATGGCCGATGTTATGTGTCGAGACCAGGAATTAAAGCTTCCTTGCAACCAATCAAGGCAGCATCTTACCGCCTCTCTTCAGCAAGTCTCTTGGCTTTCCGAAGAGCAGAAGGCCCCAATCAAGCCAGTGAGTATTTCCTCAGAGCGACAAGCACCGAGACATCCCGTAGCATCTGGGCTGCATCTGAATCATGACAGTGTCGGTTAGACCTTCAAAGACTAGAAGGATCGCACTCACTCAGCCCCAAATCCAAAGGGAAGTCCAACAATTCGAATTTTAGTAAATCTTCTGTTCCAAATAAAAGATTGCTGGAGGGGATTCGTGAAGTTGCTTCACTGGAAACCTAAAAAGGATTCCCTATCGTGAAGTGAAGACTGTTGGATTTTACGAATAACACCCTGGCTCACCATCCTGCTATTTCGATTACTATGTGGTCAACTTTCGTCTGTACCACCGCAACAAGCATCGTCAGTTCGGGAAACCATCGTTTACCCTAGAACAAGAGTAAAGCTGATTAGCTGTAACCATATTCACATCTTATAGAGAATTTTACAGTATTAATGAGGCGGCATCTAAGCATTTGGTTACCAAACATGCCTGCAGATGAGTAAGGTTGAGGCAGAGTTTTTCGGATATTATGCTTTCTCCCTCCGACGATGTATGTCATGGCGGTACAGAAGTAAGCTCAGTATGGCTTTATCGGAGTCACAGAACAGTGAGACTACGAATTTTTCGTGGAATTCAACAGTATCCTCTCTGATGCGATGAGGCCAACTCACGAATAATCTTCAACCAACTTTTTCTTAGAAGTAGGAAGTAAGAGTAGTTTTTGAAACCCAGTTTTTCATCAAATATCCAAAGACTTTGTCGTTAAGTCAACGTCTACACGGCTATTTTCTCAATATCATTTCGGACCAATACCACCTAAAAGCAACTCGATGCGAGTATAGAACCAATAAATAAAAGAAATTTTTGCTTTTACTATTTGTTGGGATGTAAGACATTCTGTAAAGTAAATGTTTTTCCGTACTCCCTTTTGAACTGGCTACATTTAGCAAAGCCTCTATTTATGATCGAAGCTGAAATGTTGGGCAAAAGGCAAAGATAAAGTGCGTTATTTTGATACTATCCACTTAAAAGATTTATCATTGTGGTCGGTATAAGAGAAGCCAAAAAGAAAATGCTCTGCCATTTATTGGGTAAAAGTAAACTTGCGAGTAATTCTATGATAGTTCAATGTTATGAAATAATCCAGTTTTTGACTGAGCTAAATTTAACGGAGCCTAACCGTTGGAGATTATAAACCCTATAATTATAGCTATATGTCTAATTTTACTGTTTTTCGCTGTACAAGATTAGGAAACTTTGCTTATATGCTAGCCATGTTTGTGGAAAATTTCAATGTATATCAGCGTCCAATTGACATTGCAAAAATGCGAGTTGGTTATTTCTAGCCTCAGCAGGCTCCTATCTGCTATAAACCTTGTTGAATCGTAGTCATGAGAACTACAGTTTATTCCACAAAAGTATTTCGGCAGATCACAATTTGTCAAACCAGTTTGAAGTACAGCCGTAAATTGGCTGTCACTGTCAAGTTTATTTAGTAGTTTGATTGAATATATGAAGACCAAGATGTTGTGGCCTCTGGTGTGGTCGCAGTCTCCTTTCGATT